CACACACACACAGGGTAATGAGGAATGTGGAGGCCAGCGCAGATCCTTCATCAGCTTCTGAAAAAATATTCACCGGGAAACAAAAGCCACAAACAGGCCCAGACATGACGCTGGAATGCGCTCGTCTCTTCGCCTCTGATTATAACACAGGTACAAACAAACAAGACTGAATCTACACCACTGGGTCAAAGCGTTCATGCGAGTCCTGAATCTTCCTCAGTGAATTTGACTATATGTTACTGTAAGTTACTAAGGAAAAAACTCAAGTTATTTTTACAAATCACACACCAGCTTTAAAGCAGGGCTATTATCATTCACTAAAACTGAAACCATAAAAACCTTTTTGTTACTTAAAAAATAAACATTAACGAAAATAAAAAAATATTAAAAACCTAAACTTATCTTATTTTCACTGGTTACCAAGGCAATATTTCTCAGTTTATTTAGTTTAACTTTAAGTACTGAAATAAACAAAAACTAATAAATACAATAACGGCATAGTTTTAAAAAATACTAAAAATGACAAAAACACAAAATATCAAATTAATTAATAAATATTTTTAAAATGAAAAGAAAAAATTCTAAAGCTTTAAAATTCAAGTAAAAACAGAAAATGTGAAATGTAATTCAAAATATTAAAAACTATAATAGTAAATAAATTAAATAACATAAAATATCATATATACATACAGTATACACACACACACACACACACACACACTCATATATATATATAATGTATTTATAAATATACATGCACTCTAATACTGTTTCTATCTTTCTAAGTAACAAACCTGGTGTGGTTGATTATAAATAACTGTAATGGTGTTGTCAAAAGTACCGACGTCGTTACTTTTGACAACACTTAATTGTAATAATTTTAATAATTGTATATACATAAATTTTGAGCAAATCAAACACCAACTTTAAAACAGTTCTTTTATTTCAGCTCGTTGCCGAGGCGAGATATAAAATAAAACGAATAAATAATAACCCGCCTCTGAAACGCCGTCACAAATCATTCTTATTTCGAGTCAGCCGTCATACAGAGATCGAGCTGTTTCACTCTTCTCACGTCATTTGTCTTCTTCTGTAAATACTGACGTAAGAGAAGCGGTGAAACACATCCATGATCACGTGAGCGTGTTTATGGTGTTGATCTGCTCGTGTGTGTGTGTGTGTGTGTGAGCCGTCAGCGTGATTAATTGCGGTGTTTTATGCTCTCGGCGCCGTCGTTATGAGGGTTTGACTGGCCTCATGTAATGACAGTCACATGACATGATGATCACTGGGGACGAAATTCAATCAAACCCTCGACCTCCTGCTGAAACCCCCCCGATCTGATCTGAGAAACACAATCACACTCATGCAATACATGTTTCTGAAAGAGTCTCTCCTGCTCACCAAAGCTGCATTTATTTGATCAAAATACAGTTAAAAATGTGAAATATTATTATAATCTAAAGCAGCTGTTTTCTATGTGAATATATGTTAAACTGTAATTTATTTCAGTGATCAAAGCTGTATTTTCAGCATCATTACTCCAGTCTTCAGTGTCACATGATCTTCAGAAATCATTCTAATATGCTGATTTGCTGCTCCAGAAACATTTCTGATTATTATCAATGTTGGAAACAGTTGTGCTGCACAATATTTTTGAGACATTTTATTTTTCAGGATTCTTTGATGAACAAAGTTTTTGAACAGAAATTTGAAACATAAGTCTTTTGTAACATTATAAATGTCTTTACTGGCACTTTTGATTAATTGAATGCATCCTTGATTAATAAAAGTACTAATATTATTATTTTGAAAAATCTTACTCACCCCAGACTTTTGAATGGTAGTGTATCACTAAAGAAATTAATATTTTTATCAATCAAGGACACATTAAATTGATGAAAAGTGACAGTAAAAACATTTATAATGTTTCTATTTCAATTAAACGCTGTTCTTTTGAACTTTCTTTTGATCTGTGAATCCTGAAAAATAAAATGCATCACGGTTTCTACAAAAATATTCTGCAGCACAACTGTTTTCAACATTGATAATAATCAGAGATGTTTCTTGAGCAGCAAATCAGCATATTAGAATGATTTCTGAAGATCATGTGACACTGAAGACTGGAGTAATGATGCTGAAAATACAGCTGCGCATCACAGAAATAAATTACAGTTTAAAAGAGATTCACATAGAAAACATTGGAATAATATTTCAGTTTTTACTCTAGTTTTGAACAAATAAATGCAGCCTGATGAGCATATTCACAATCCATTTTACCTTGATAATGTGACATATTTCAGAGTGGAACAGAATATTCAATGAGAAATATTTCTAATTTTTCTAATCTAATTAATCAGGAATTGACTGGATGCTGAAAAGTGGGTTTTATAAAGCAGAACCGAGTTTAAATCTGCATCACTTCCTCTAACAGCATTTTAGGGATCAAATCTCTTCATGAATACAAATGAGCCCTGAGTGTGTCTCTCTCTGTGTGTGTGTGTGTGTGTGTGTGTGTGTGTGTCTGTGTGAGAGTGAGTGAGTGAGTCTCTGTGTGTGTGTGTGAGTGAGTGAGTGAGTGAGTGAGGGAGTGTGTGTGTGTGTGTGTGTGTGTGTGTGAGAGTGTG